TGAATATTCTGAATGAATTCATGGACCTTACTTATTTGTCTGCTAAGTTTCACCCGTTTTCGCCCCGTCGCAGTGGTATAGTGGCTAAGGTACTCGGCTGCTGACTTGCAGGTCACGGGATCGCACGCCGGCTGCGGCGGCTGTATTTCCGATGGAGGCGGAAATGCTGTAGGCCCGTGTGCTCAGATTTGGGTGTACGTTAAAGAACCCGACGTGGTCGAAATTTCTGGAGCCCTCCACTGCGGCGTCTCTCATAATCATATGGTTGTTTTGGGACGTTAAACACCACAAATCAATCAATCAACCCGTTTAACCGTTCGCGGCTTTTGGAAGTGTTATGTTCACTTTGCTTGTATTTACAAATATGCAGCCAAAACAATTTGTATTATCTGTATATGCTTGTATACAACGAACAAAAATAGCTAAAAAACAGCCATGAACTACCTCTCAGCTACATCTCCATAAGCACTACACCTCTAGAAGTGCTGATGTGTTGGACCACTTTTACTTGACAACGCCAATTCACAAGAGCACTCAAGTCAATTTTGAAGTCCACATCGAGTGATTGTTCCTAAGTGGCCAACGATGCCATAGTAAACCATGAGGTCAAGTCTGCTGTCCGATGTGTTGTTGCTCAAGTGTGCAGGCAGGCTACGGTATCACCGACAAAAGTAGCCTAAATCGTCTTCCACTCCTTCAACCAGTGGGGTGTCTCACTGTACGCGTTACCCTCCGTAGATGTTTCACACGAACGCTCTCCACACGAATAGGCACCCGTATCACAGACTGTATACCCGAACGCCGGTCGCTCCTATTGCTAGTCTGTTTGCTGCCTCGACAACCACCTCTTTCTGAGCTAACGTAAACAGCCTCACCGCAATTGTTTTCGGCATTATACATACCACAGTGCACGTTTTTCGAGCCATCTGGAGGTTTTCAAGCGCATGCTCGTGTCAATAAATGACCGAATAAACTTTGTGTTCTATATTTTCTACCCAATATAGCTTACCAATGGTACTATGTAGGAGGAATCAACTTTATTTACGAAAATGTTGTAAACCTCAGGGTGCCTCCGTGTCGGCAGCGGCATATACGGCCGTGGCAACAATAGATAGTGTGAAGAGCTTTATCGCTTGTGCAGGGAAGTTAGTTTTATTCAGCGCGGAAGGGTGAAGAATCGTTCAGAGGCACAATAGCGATTCAAAACATAAGCTGGGCGTCTTGCGATGCTGCTTAATTCAGACGCCCCCGATAAATGAGGCGACATTCTGGCTACCTAAGAAGTTTGTCAGAGGTTCTTGGTAAAGCTTGAGGTGGAAAACATCGACAGCGTCCCGTTCACACTGGCGCATGATGTCATCCGATCGAAAAACTAACTTGAAAAGAAACTAACCGAAGAGGTTTTCTCCAGAACAGAGTAACGTCATTCTGTCTGGGAACAAGCATTGACGAGAGCCCCACAGTTCAGTATGAGTCTGATAATTACGCAAGAAACTCTGGGACATAGCTATGATCTGGAAGAGAGGGGCTGCGGTTTTTTTTCTGATGTTGCTGCTCTTGCGAGGTAAACGTGCGGGAGCGATGGCGGCACACTACCTTGTATAGCAGCGTGAGAGGCAGGTGGACACTCGGAAGCATCGGCACGGCAAGGAAGTATAGTGTCGATTGCATGAAAAGGCTTGTGTCCGCGAGGAAAAGAAAGGGCGAAAATTTCGTGTTTTTATGGAGGTGTTGTAAGTGAATGTTTCTCAGGGGAGAATACCGTGTTTCTTTCTATGGCGAAAATACCAAGTATGTCTAGAGCATAACACCGAGTGTGCAGTTCAACCGTCCCGGGAGCTCGTTAGTCTACGCTTAAAGAATTTGGGTACCCTTAAGCTTCGCCTTTAGGAGTTGAACGCGATAGCGAAATCTGGCCCCTAGTGCACCCCTGAGCCACTAAGTGCATACTTATTCATATGTTTCGTTACATACACACGCACGCACACAAACACGTACACAGTAGATTGGACCAGTGCACGCTATTATCGCCAAATGGACTCGTTTTCATCATGGCACCTGTCAAACAAAATGAGTTAAAGGGGCCCTAAAATACTTTTTCAAATAACCATGAATTGAATTCACTAGAGGAGCTTATTGCCTCACGAATTCAACGCCGCAAAATATTTTAAGAAACCGTCTAGTGCGACTGAAGTTACAAAGGTTTGTGCATGCTGCAATTGCATTATTTCTTCCCTTGTCCCGACGAAAGCGTTGGAAGCTAAGCAGAGAGGGCTGGAAGGGCAAAGCAACTACCGTGCCCCGTGACCTTGAGCACTTTTTTTTCTTCGAATGCGTGGCTTTTTGAGCGTGATCGCGCTCGCACGCGTTGCAAGTAGAGGCCTCCCACGGTTACCTCGGTAACCTTATTTATCGGTCTCAGACGCACAGACAATTTTTCGCTCACAACCAACGGGGCCGACGCCGGCGGCGGGTTTTCGGCGACACAAGCTATTGCTATGGGACAATCATAGCGACAACCGTAGGGATAATCACAACATATCAACGCTATCGCGTTAATATGTTGTGGTTGTCCCATAAATTACATGGCATTCCCAGAGTCTAGCTTTTCAACCTCAGAGAAAGAAGCGGGGCGTCTGTCACTAAGGAGCTCTCGCAGTGCGATATATCGGATGATCAAACGATGTAAAATATAATAGGCAACATTTCGAGTGGCTGCACTGGGGTAGTGTGTCAGGTGATCGACAGCAACTGTAACCCACCCATTTCCGTATGGTGTCACTATATGGGAGCCGTATAGGTTAACGCTGACGCATTCAAATGGCTTTGCAGGGTATGAAAGCGGCCGCGATGCACCAGTCGTACGCAAACGTGCTGCTCTGCGTCGCTAGCATTCAGGACACCGATGCACAAATTTCCACATAAACTTCTACATGGCAGCCCAGTAATAGCGATGGCTAAGGCGTTCGTATGTCTCAAAGGCCTCGGCGTGGCCATCTTACGTATCGTGGTGTATGGAGGCGCACACTCGCTATCGCAAGCTAAATGGAACGACCAGTAGCAACTGGTGGCGATTGGCACGTAGTTGCGCTGATGAAGCAGTTGACCACGGATAGTGAAATGGAAAGCTTGATGTTCGAGGAATCGACATACAAGAAGGGTGGACGTGCCAGATAGATAATCAAGAAGAGTCGGATCCACGAGTCAGTTCGGTGGCATTCGAGCCGAGATAGAAAGGTGACTCGCGGTCCACGCAAGCGGTTTCGCACGCTGTATCTGGAGATGAAGGTGAGCAGAAGAGGGCGTCAGTGGCAGAATGCTTGCGTCCGCAGCTGTAAACGACGAAAATGCTGTAGTCCTAGATGCGAAGTGTCCTTGGGGCTGGGTGGCCTAAGGGGTATTTTTATGTAGCGAGTCAGTAAAGCATGTGGTGATCAATTATCAGATCGGACGGGCAACCATGTAAGTATGGCCACAACTTTGCAAACGCCCATGCCACAGCCAAACACTCTTTTTCAGTCACGCTGGGTATAGTTTTGGCTATCGCTAGCGTGCGACTAGCGTAGACTATGACGATTCTGAATAGCCGGGCTTTGATTGAGCGAGCACAGCGCCATTAGTGTGCACCCATTCGTCAGGTAGAAGTGGTGAAAAAGAGGATTGGAGTGCGAAGAACCATCCAGAGGCACAGCAGTTATCCCAAGCACGAGCTGCGCATTGTGGTCGTTGGTGATGCTTCTGGATAGAGGCACATAATCTTCCTCACAATAGCTATGTATGTTTTGATCGGGTCCTTCATGCTGACAAAGAGCGAGCTTGCAGGTGCATTTTGGTTCAAGGAAAGCGTTCACAGCGCAACACTTAGTGCATTTATTGGCCAAATCTCGTGTGTTACAATTTGGCAGATTGCGTGAGGACTACGGAAAGAATAAAATGAAATGCGGCGCAGGATCATAAACGACACTCTCGTTCAGTTGTTATTCAAATTAGAATAGAAGCCGCATTCATTTTTATAGATATTCAATATGTCGGTAAATGAAATTGGTGCTCAAAGGAAAACCGGGTCTGAGCGACGCGAATCTCGATTCGTTCGCGCACAAGATACGTGGCGCACCTGTTCATTCCCAGTGTTCCCCGAGTGGCCAGAGGCCACACTAATGACTTTGCTATGCTGACAGCTTCTTAGAATACTCGCCTCTGGCTCATGCTTCCTTTCGAAAATAATGATGGCTCCCTTCAAGACACTCAAAACAATTCGAGTGGATGCGGTCATCGCCATAGCACCATGTACTACTGACATGCCCGGCACCAAAGCAACATCTGTAGAAAAATGACAAATTTCTTTAGCGTTTCATGGCAATTATTGAATTGACATCACGCTACACATCATCACGCGTGAGAGGTACTAAAGGCTTAGCATGTAACTGTCTCCTTCTTTGATGCGTAGATTTTTCTCGCACTATGTCAGCACCTATGTCAGCATAATGTCAGCACACAGATGTTATAGTAACATGCACTTGGTCAGGTCATAATTACATGTTCCGGCATATTTCTAAACTCTGGCTAAACTTACGAGGAACACTCTGTATAGCTTGCGTCTCTGTTGGCATGATCGCGAATTCACGAAAATGCACTCTTCGTAAAACGATGCTTCTCGTCTTTATCTTCGTTTAAAATTTATTTTATTTGAAAACAAAGTTTGCTTTCATGCAATTCGGTCATGCGGGCGCATTATACCGTATTACGAGGAAAATTGGAAACATTAAGTATACCACGTTTTTTTATCTTTCTTGGAATCGAGCGTACGTTGTTTTTTGCATGGCACCTATGCGTGTACAGATGACAGACTACGCTTGCCGCATTAAGATCTATATGAGTAAAATACTAATTGAATTGTTTGTGTCCACACTACATAAAGTAGAAACATGTTGCAAAACAGTCACATGTGACCCAGAGATATCAGTTTTCTTTTCACTAGGAGCTCATCAAGCCTACCTTACCGTCATCAAGTCGACGCGTTTTCCAGCGCACCAATGAAAGGTGAACATAAGAGCCAGTAAGACATTCAATTTATTGAAGCGTAGCACCATACCGACGATTCTGAGACCTCGGCCATGCAGGGCTATCGTATAGATTTCTTACATATATAGGCTGTGTTCTTAACAGTAGTACGTCAAATGAAAAATGGCATTTTGTGACTATAATAGTATTGTTTTGACAAGATGCTATATATCGCTTTCCAAATGCATGACTTTACAGGATGTAAACGTCACTCTCTGTTACTTTCTGAAAGATCACAACTTCTAAAATGTAGGACGTTTCAAATGATTAGGAGCCTTTTTAATACCTTCACTGCAAACTGCGCTCAAAAGCACTACATCAACCTTAAAAGACAAGGGGAAGATTTTTTAAGAGTGATCTTTGTGAGGTCAACGACCAATTTGAATCTTACTTGTATGCTTGCTTGCTTGCTTTACTGACTACGCTACCAGCTCGGCTGAGGTGTTTTCATTTATTTTACACCAGATCCAATGTTCTTCATACAAAAACTACATCCTGGTGGCACCTTGACAAGATAACGCCACCTCGTGGGAATGATCTTGATTTGATTTGTTGTTTTCCATTTACACGCATGTTCCAACATAGTGGTAAATGGAGGAGGGGGAGGGATAAAAAGCAGCATCAACGCGGCTTGGGGGATACATCACCTCCTTAGCGCAGTAGGGCTACATATGGCAGAATAAATAATACACTTGTATAATACACTCATAGAGTGGCTATAGCATTTTAAATTTTGATATTGATAAATGTGGTAAATGATAGCCGGATCTGTTGTATAAGTTAAGAAGTCTACGGAGATGGTTTGACAGCATTTGGTAACAATAATTTGTTCTAAAGTGCAAAACCTTCCACACACCTGAAGTGTGAGTGCTATAGCAGGATCAATTGCAAGATAACTTTGCAAATTCTTACAATAAGGAAGTGTTGCATTTCACACACAATGTGATGTTCGCGCAAGAGTCTAGTTTTGTAGATGTTATAGACTTTAGTTAGGTTGCATTTTTTAATGTTTTCGGTATGAGCCAAATACGATACATTAGCGACGATGCGTAATATTTCCTTCTGCATAAGAAATAGTTAATTAAAGATGTTTAAAACTGAGTTGTGGTGCCCCATACTAGATGCCCATAATGAATGTGAGATAAAAATAAAGCATTATAAATTAACAGTTTTACAGGAACGGGTAAAGCGTATTGGTAACAACTTATAACACCTGTTATACGGCAGATCATCCCATGACAAGAAATCAACACCCCGTTTATTATCCCAAAGTGTGCAAAACTCCCACTGACATTACTCATGTATTTCTTATTAAAAACGCGATTACAGGTTTGCTAAAACGCAGTTCTGCTATTTGGGAAGTCTTTTTAATAATATAGCCTTATTTATATCATTAAAACTTTGATATCTTCGAACTTATTCATTCATTATGTAGGTGGGATGTTTCACCTAATGGAAACCCTATACTGTCAATGACAGTGGTTAAATGACAGTGGTTAAATTCAATAAATAAAGCCAGTGGGAAATGATTTGAGCTCATGTGATGCTTAATAAAGTATTTGTAAGTGGGGCTTTTTTTAATAAACACAAATCAAGAACTCTGACTTATTTACTCATATCGAACAGCGCTTAGCGACGCAATGAATGAAAAGAAACTTTTTAGTCTAATCGGAATTTGTAGCACTGAAAAACAAAATTACCAGCCTTACAATATCTGAAATTATGACGTAGCATCACTCGAATGCTACCGGGGCATTCGTTTTCCACAATTTTACACCTCCGCATCTGAAAAGTCTGCGAGGCCATCTAACGCGTCCGTTTTATATACGGGCTGTACCGACCATGTAGAAGGTCAAGTGAATCCACGACAACTTGTTATTATTTAAAGATAGAGAAAACAAGTGCAGGTTAATTGGAGCAGTCAAATAAAAATTTTACGGAGACGGTCAGTGCCATCTGCAGCGTATTCAAGTGAATCAGGAAAAAAAACTACCGTGATCGTTTGCGAGTATTTGGAGGACAAAATCTACTAACGCAGAGTGGCAAAAGGCACTACCATTGTGCGGCGTGCAGCTTTTTGTAACTAGATGAAGTAGTGTTCGTGATACGGCATCTACATGTTTTATCCCGATTACATTGCAATACAAATCAGGAAAAAAGCCATCTGCGTGAAAATTTGAAAAAGAAAAAAAAGTGCATACTTCCTTGCTTAGTTCTTTCCTGAATGGCAGCAAAGCTTCGTTTATTCGAGTTTATGACAGCATCAAATCTGTAAGGTTTGATGTTGCCATTAAGGCCATGTCGTCAAACCCATGTAACCGAGACGGTGAAATTTCTTTTAGTGATCAGAAAACTCTTATTATACGGTTCCATAGTATGCAGTTTTCACGGCATCAAAAATAGAGCAACGTGGGATAGGGGTCATTCTTAAACAACCGCATTGATTGTTTGTTTTAACGTATACATGTGACTTCAGTGATTTTTCTAGTGTTTATTTTTCCACGAATTATGAAATAGATCCACGTCACTGCACTACTGAATGAAAAGATTCATGCTATGCGTGTACCCTTTATAAAGGAGAGGTAACATATGTGTCACCATTTTGAACAAGGAAAAAATACGTTTTTTTTTTCACTTTTTATGTCAGCCTAAAGACTTGTCTGCTTTGTTGAAACAAATTTTGATGAAAAAATACCCAATTTTCAGCTTGTTATAGCGGAATCGCTCTATTTTTCCAACGATTTACTCTCGTCTTCCCTTTCTAGATTCATAGCACCAATAAACAACTTAAATCTTATCACTGGCGTGTTCAGCTTTCTGTTCCTAAAGTGCAAGGCTTCACAGAGGCTCCGCCTAAACGCAGCCCTGGGTGAATATTCTACTTTCAGAGAAATTATTCTCCGTTTCCTTACTTTTTCCACAATACAGTAGTGATTTTACTTGTTTGCTGAACCTAACTTTCAAAATACAAGTTCTTCCCGAACTGGACTTCCAACAGTAAAGTGCCTACCCTTTATTTATCATAAAGTTCAGTACCTTTTTTCATTTTCGCCTTTTACGTACTTACTCAGAGCCGTTTTTTTCATCACTGCCATTCAGTAAATCCTCTTCATCAGTCTGAGTTTTTACTTGAATCTCTTTGTTTGCCATGTCAATTGCACTGCTTTCCGTTTAATGGTAGACCCCATGTTTTCTTTTTTTGTGATGTATGTCACTTCCGTTCCCATACAAATACAGGAATACCTACTCCCTCCATATGCTGTGTTTTATATTCTTTGCACTACCCTATATGCATCACCCTCGAGCTTATTTGATTGTGAAACAGCTGGCGCACGCATCATGTTGAATCCAACGGGCGCGTTTCTAGGTGTTGGTTTGTCAGGGCACCAGTATTTAAGATGGCCGCACACGGCAAGGCAGTGTCGTCAATGATTTAACTGATGGATTAACGGTCTCCCCACCGATTTCAATCCAAGCACGGTTGACAGCACTGCACTACCATAGCGCATGCGCGTGCATGCGCTATGGTAGTGCAGTGCTGTCAACCGTGCTGGTTTCGTTTCATATTTCGCGGGTTTACTTTAGGTGTTGGAAAAATTAATACGCAGCATTTACGTTGCCCTAAAATTATAATCATGCGTTTTGGCATGCTCTCCAAATTAAGCTAACTTTATTAACGGCGAAAGAAGAATGGAAAACGAGTGCCACACGATCATTCAGTTATAGGTAAACACTTTTTTTTGCTGAGCAGTGGAGCTGTTATAAGCACGATGACGCTCTGAAGTAACTTCAACAGAAATCGTCATCATTATGGGTAGCTTGAAACTTGAGGGGCTCTGCATAAAACCTCACGTACGTACATTGACGTTGCGATGTGTTTCCTATATCTCCTTGAGATGAATGAACTGAAGTATACATACGCACCAAGAGACGTTATTTAGCTTCAAAGCAAGCGCATGCGAGATAACTTCACATACCTTATGCATTTCACTCACTCAGTGAGAGAGTGCACTACAGCTTACGCCTCAGTCCGACGCCACTGAGGCTCAAGGCCGGGGCACTGCTTTTGTGACATATGCTGCTGACATAAGCGTGGGAACGCTTCAACAGATGACCTTATAGTATTTATTCAGACACCCTAAGGGTGCAGGAGAGCAATACAGATGACAGTAGTTGCACACTTGGCTGACTTGATTTGCGGCTACACGTGTAACGGATAGATGCCGGAGCGTTCGGAGCGAGCGAACGCCCGTCGCATGCACTCCGCCAGACGAGTGCTTTCGTTGACCGGATTACTCCGATCTTGTCGCCGGCGCTGTGTGGGGTCATCAAGTTTAACTATCCGAGGAACCACAGACTCTTACTGAGGCTGTAGAGCTTATTCATCCTTTTCTATCGCCTTCAGAAGGACCCAGGTGAGCGCTGAGCCACTAGGTTTAAGCGTCAACCCCAGCTCGCCTGTGTGAGTACAGTTGATTTGCCCTGGCGGCGGAACCCTTCCAAAATTATATGAACGCTAACAATACGCCGACTGCTGACGTGACTGCTACCGGATGCGTGCAACCTGCATTCAGCCCCATCGACACACAGATCAACACGAAGGCTCTCGACCTCGACAAGCTTACCTCGGCAAGCGAAGAAGACGCTGCCGTACACCATCCCATATCGTCTGCATCGCTGGTACTGGCGAGCGACATCGACGCTAACTGAAAACTGGCGATTATCTGTCGTCAGCGTCAACGCCAGAAAAAAGTGGCTTATCTCACGTATAGTGGGAATCGATGATATGCGAAGCATGAGTGAGGAACGTTGATATGTCAATTTAAAATCAGCCTATCGTTACGAGGCAGAGGTACATTTTGCCGTAAATGACTTCCATATTATAATAACCATATTTTGACGTTTCATCTACCTTCTTCATTTATTCACGTCACCCAATACCGAATTTGGTATCCGGGACGCTAGTGAAATGGCCGCGAGCGCGCTATGAGCGCATATTGTAGACCTGTTTGGCATGGCGCGCATATCATCATCATTATATTTGGACGTGTCATTTACCTTCTTCTGC